TATATATATATATATATATATATATATATAAAAATATAGGTGGAAGATTTTAAAAAGCATACTTGCGCGGCAAACAGTGCTGTTGTTTCGTGCAAGTTGCGTGTCAATCGGTACCACAATGGCCGAGATATCGGCATGACAGACGGACAGTTTTTTGTCTTTGTATAGTAGATAAAGAAATATAGATAAGTTTGAAAGGATAACTTTTACAAAAAATGCTTTGAAAGTTTATAGAGATTTTGGCCATTATAATTCAGTAGTCTATGATCAAATTTGTTGCTTTTAGAAATGATGCTTTAAAAATTTTGAAAATATGTTGTATCATTTACATAATGACTGCAAGTCCCAAGTTCACTCAAACTTAGTTTTAAATGAGGTTTATTTTACCTATGATCATATTTTAAAAATGAATTCTAATTGCATAAATAATTAAACAAGAGGTGTCTCGCACATTAAGTCATGAAAAGAACTAAAACGAATTCTAGAGAGAGAGAGAGAGACAAAATATATCCAAGTTTCGCTACGGTTATGTATGTTTTTTCCTGTATTAGATGATGTTTGAAGATTTCAATAAGAGTTTTCAAGAGTAAGATTACGAGTTATTTTTGTTTCTTTAAGCATATTAGAAATAGTTAATATGAAAATGAATAGATGGCGCCTGTGTTTTAATAATGTGTCTTTCCTTGATGCTGGTAACCTGTAAATTTTTGTCCGGTAAAGCGCTCATGACATTAAGTTTAAATAATTTTCAGTAAAATTTAATTACTATATTTCCTCTTTAAGTAAGAAAAAGGAAAAACTATAAAAAATGAATTGGAATTTTGTAATCAAGTAAGGTAAAACTTAGTTGAGGTAAAACACAACTAAGTTTTCAGTATAAGAGTTTAAAGTTTATAGTGCAAACTAAAGAGTTGTATTCATTGTTAAAACATTAAATATAATACGACACACTACTCCAGAAGACATAGCTTTTTGCATTTAAGCCAACGTTTCGCCATTACGGCTTCAAAGGGGTGAACAAGACACTTGCTGATATTAGGCTTAAACAAAACAACAACACACACACAAATATTTCAAAGTAACTCGAGTCAATGTAACAAGGTGAGCTTCACACGAGAGTATGTAAAACAAAAGTTGTAGTGTGAACGCCTTTTACAAGCTGGTATAGCATGATTATAATTATACTTGTCGATAAACATTAGATTTAGGCCTATTATATTTTATTACACTACATTCTTTTTCTAGGCCCTTAGTGATTTTCAAGAATTAGAAGAGTGTATAGATAAAGAATGTTGTGTTTAAAAATATAATAGGCCTAGTATTCGTATCTTATGACAAGTATAATTATAATCATGCTTCACCAGCTTGTAAAAGGCTTTCACACCATACAGTTCTTGTTGTATCAAATAGCTTATGTAAATAGTGTTTCGACCACTATCGTGTTTGTTGTATCCCATTCGGCTTGAAGAGCTCTAGATTGAGTGAAACGCGTCGTCGGCAATGGATATGACAAATATAGTGTCATAGAATACTATCATCACCCACTTTTTAATCCTTGAACCCCCCCCCCCCCAAGGGATTAGATATATAAATAATGTAGTGTTTAAAAATATGATGGGACTAAAACTAATGTATTAATCAAGTATAGCTACATAAAACATCACTGTTGTAAAGTTATCTTGTTGTACATAAAATAAACGTAAAGGATGGGACCTCAGATTGTGAAATTTAAAGATAATATTATACTATTTAAAGACACCTGAAATATGTTATTACACGTACAAATTAAGTATGGAGAGTAATAATCAAATATTCCATGTTGATTATTTGTTTAACTGTAGCTCATTCTTTAGAAACGTCATCAATCACGATAGTGGTAAAAATAATGATCTGGTTGGCGTAACAAATCAGCCATATTATTCAACGTTCACAGTGAAGATTGTACTCAGTAACGTCATCAATCCCGATAGTGGTAAAAATAATGATCTGGTTGGCGTAACAAATTAGCCATATTATTCAACGTTCACAGTGAAGATTGTACTCAGTAACGTCATCAATCCCGATAGTGGTAAAAATAATGATCTGGTTGGCGTAACAAATTAGCCATATTATTCAACGTTCACAG